TCATGCTCTCATTCCCAATAAGAAAGAGTTCAAGCACACTGATTGAAAATGCTTGGGCTACAATTCCCAGTTCCGGCGCGAGGACTCAAACCCGGACAGCGGGCTAAGATCGTGCACCTGTTAGAAAGACCTGCGGTACACCCATGTACACTATACCCGATGAAATACCTTCGGGGTTCCCACAGAAAATTCAGAACTTCCCGAGTCGGCAGTTGAACTATCTAGATAAAAAATGGCGGCCCAGAATCCAAAGGCCAAAGCCAAACTCGAATCCGGCCAGCATGCTCTAGGAAATAATAAAGTCGATAGGCAAAAACACCCCGCAGATAAGAAATAAAGACAAAGAGATAAACAGCTCTCTCGAGACCGAGTTCGGGCGCGGGGAAAGTCGAACGGCCTGCGGGCTAATCCCATCGCCGCGGTGCGTCATACACCACACCCAATGAATTACTCCATGAAGCCAGCAGATTCATGTAGTGTCTCGAATGGTTGAGATCCTCGCAGGAAGTAGATTGCCCATACTGTAGATGTATCTACCTCCCGGCGCCAGAAAAAGAAATTGGCTACTTACATAATTTCAAAATAACCCGCACGCGGGGAGTTGAACCGCGCCTTTCAAGGTCTATGATTTTTTTTTTCAAAAGCCCCGTTGAGCAAACGAGGTACAAGTTGATATTGTTATAGCGTCTGTTTAGAAGAGACTACGTTGAGCACGGCTCTTGATAACGGATAGCTAGCGGAGTTTGAATTAGGTCATCAAGTGCAACTGTGCGCGAGTTCGAAACCACGACGTCGTGTTCTTATTTTCCTGCTGTCTGAGGCGCAGTGCTGACTGCAAATGGAACCTAACAAGGTCTTTTCCCTCATTGAACCTCGAGAAGAGCTCAATCCCATTTATCCAACAAGCCTGAGCTGGTTCTGGCTACACCAGAAGACAATTCAACTATCTATGTTTTGGGGCTGGAAGTAGTGAGGGAAATAAAATGACACTTCCTCAAGACTTACAGTGATAAATGGGTGTGGAGGTCTGAGGATGCGACAAGAATCTGCAACGACACAAGAAACATGATTAACGAGTTGAAACTAAGTGCAGTTGCAGTTGGGTGCTGACCGGGGACATAGATCGGAGGGAGCAGCAAAGTAGAGCCATAAAACAGTTGATTTTGTTGACCGCGGAATTCGGTGGAAGAGCGAGAAAAAGTCAGTGTCGGCTGAATCCCGCCGAGATTGAAACTCCGCCAGGTATCCCTGAACTCCGCTCAGTATCCGAATTTCCTTGGCACCTTTACTGGGGAAACAGAACACCTCCAATAATCGCAAAAGAAATTGAGGCATGTCTTTGAAGATCGTAGATTGACGTCCAATTTACTATACGACATCCTGAGCCGCGAAGAGTATCTCCAACGACTTTCTTCAGTATCTGCTGTTGTGGCTGTACATGTCTGCCGAGCTCCGGAAGTTCCCTTCTTGCGCGCAATATTTTAGTATCTTTATTATCTTTATTTTAATAATTTCACGCACCTCCACAAGTATCGAGCCTTGAGTACTGTAGACCACTCCCGAATATTTATCCTGGTCCGACTCATAGACATATCCCGTCAAACGGTGGGACGAGCCCAGATTTAATTTTGCCTTTAATGCCCAATTAATGCCGCACAGACCATTGCCGCGGTCCGAACCACGAATCCCAGATCCCGAACTCCGCCGCGCGTGCTTGAGCCCGACTTTTAGGTATTTTAACTCCTGACTTAGCCCGACTTTTGACTCAGGGTTCTCTCATCTTCATATGAAGCTATTTTTTTGCCTTTCTGTACATCCCTTTGCTCTTCAGCACATCTGGGACGCAGGTGGAATCTTAAACTGTGCCCATTGAAGCAAATAATAGTAGCAGATACAAGGCCAATAGAGGCCGAAGCCAGTCGACTGTGATTTTGCCGTTTTCTGTCCTTCCATCGGCGGACCCCGGGGAATGAAGGGTAGACCAATTTTCTCAGTCCAGGAAGCTTGAAGTGGATTTCTCTTTCCTTCCAGTGAAGTTCGAGTCAAAATAATTTGAATGAACCTACATAAAAGTTGGGCTAGGCTAGCTGCGGAGAAGCAAAAAGTTGGGCTAAACCAGGAGTCTGGAAAATCAAAGTTGGGCTCGGATCGTAGTTGGCCAGGCCAAAAGTCGAGCTAAGTCCGGAGTTGAAAATACCAAAAAGTCGGGCTCGGTCAGTAGTTCAAAGTGGGGCTAGACTCACGGTTGGTTCAGGCTATCTTCGGACTTAAAACTCAGGCTCCGTCAAGACTGTTCGTGGCGGGCTAGATCAGGACTTTCGACGCAAGCTAAATCAGTACTTGATTCGGGGCGAAAACATATTTTCGGCTGATTTTTTGTGGGCAAGAGCCATAGCATCGATACACAGCTTCTCATGGACCAGACGGTCGTATACATCTACTCGCAGATCACACGGTGAGAACCAATTTCCATCCTGATTTGCATTTGGGCCCTGAGAATGAGGAAAACGGCTCTTAGTGCTTTCCTCCAAAATAGAATCGAACGTGCATAAGTCTGCCGTACGAAGAACAGCTAAAATCTTGGACGGGTAGCAGAAAAACAATCCTCACATTCATTTAATTTTTTGTTCAACCTGAAAGTTCGCGATTTCAACCATCGCGTTATGACCTCCTAATCCTCGCAAACAAACAAACTCTCATTGAACACGCTGCGCATCGGATACCTGCAGTGCGTCCTCGTCGTTCCATTCTCCCCGGATCCACCAATAGTGTCAGGTGCAACCCCGCGCTCGACCCAGTCAACCAGCGCCAACAGGATATTATGCGAGGTGTCATTCATAACATTTAGCCCACCTGATTGCCCGAAGGACGAGGCGCCGAGGCCGCCGGAGCAGTGCCCCATCCCGGGGATGAGGAAGAGGCGGTAGAAGTCGTCAAGGAGGGGGAGCGAGAGCGTGTGCGAGATCAAATCGTACACACGCTTGGAGTTGGTCGATGGTATGATCTACGTAGTGCTTCAATCAGCCTAGTCCATCTGCGAAAGAGTAAACTGGAACATACGGGGTCCCGCCGCCCATGGTACGTGAGGATTTTCCCGCCGCCATTGCGGAACGCAGACAAGTCGCCGTCGAACGTGGCGAAACTCAAAGTCTCAAACCAACTTGAACGGACCCCAACCCTTATTCCCGCTACCTGTAGGTACGGCTTTTAGGGTGCCTGGTTTGACGAGTCTTGCAGAGCATGTCATTTTGGTCATATCTTTTTGAGTAACTACACCTCTCGCGCCAAAATCCTCCGGCTCGTCAACAGTGGGGTACAGTAGTTAACCGGGAAGCGAAACGCTCAAGCGAACTCGCAAGTCCCGGGCCGAGATTAGATAAAGTTGTTGGGGATCTCTTCACAGATCGATAGAGATGTGTCAGGGCTACCTGGCAATATATAGTTTTATAGGGAAATGTTGTGTTTTGATTGAGAATGAGGCCATTCTTCTACAAACATCCGATTTTGCAGAATCACGTGGAAGCGAAACACTACAAAATAACCTGTGGGCCGCCGATCGTTGCAATCCAGCCCTAGGGGTGTTTATATTCGTGTTATACGACCTTGAAAACCCCCAGTTCACGCGTGTGCAGGAGGAATTGCGCGCCCGAAATACCGTGCCTCCGACGGATTATATCCAACAAAATAGGCCAAAAAATAGCGAACACAAAGTGATCTGCCACAGGTTCCACAGAACCTTTTTGCGCAATTCCTTTTGTTATGAGCCATTTCTCATGGCTAAATATCCTCTCATAAAAACTGGGGCCCGTCGGATGCCTGGGATCCGGGAAAAAGTCGGTGTTTCGCTTCTACGTAGCGTTTCGCTTCCCGGTTAACTACTGTAGTCACGAGGACGTGATTTTTATCTTGCTGCTCTGCACCCCATGCCGTAGCGGAGCCACATCTCCAAGAACCTGCCAGAAATTAGCCAGAGTCGATAACTGATAGTCGTTCGTATTGGACGTGGGGAGGCTTCCGTTTCAACCGAGATCTTTCCGTTACCATTTCAACCGACACATACAGTCAACTATTCAACACAGATCGAGATATGCACTGGGAACAATCAGGAAATTTCTTAGGTATCCCATTCACACAGTATGTATAATAATGCCTGGAACGGAATGAAAAGATTTCTCCGTTTCACTCCATTAACTCCGGGGCTGTCGGAGCGAAGTTCGCTCCGGCTTATTTTGTAATAGACAACAATTAGTGTCTCCGTGGGACCAACCTCGCGATACCGCATGACTTTTGGATGCGAGGGTCATCTGGTCGCAGGAATTACAGCTCTTTGCGGAACTTAGGGCGCGGCTAATTTTTTTCTGTTTTGGGAAGCTTTCGGTATAACAGCCGCCCTGCCTCCAGTTCTTGTTGGATCCATACGGGACATAGCGCGATCGATTCGTGCTACACGCCCGCAGCGAAGCATGTCCTTCGATTTTTCTCTCAGTGCATAAATCAATTTCTGATCAGTTTCAGGGCTGTTCTGCATCAGACAGCTGTAGCTGAGGTAATAATATTTCGATTACCACAATTCTTGGATATGCTATCCATGAATAGCATCATTAGTTAACTGGATATTTTAAAACTTTCAATTTACCATACTCCCTGTCCGGCATTCAACTTGTTGATGGGGGGAAAAACCCTTCCACCTATGGTGAACACTGAATTGACTGTACTCAACTGATCTGTTATCTTGAGATCCCATGCGCTAGATAATGTATCCAAGGGTCCCAGAACAAAAACATAGGTCATTCGGGTGAGTATTGCTTAGGTGAGACCTGTCGGATGTGGAACGGCCCCGATACTGATCAAAAATTAATTTATGCACCGAGAAAAAGATCGAAGGACAGGGTTCTCTGCGGGCGTGTAGCGAAAAATAAAAACCACCTCCTCCGGGTCCTCGAAGGCAAGCCCGCGAATGAATAAATAGAAGAAAAGAAGAATGTGTCGGATCTTTGAAGTTCGGGCGCGGGGAATCGAACCCCGGCCTGCGGGCTAATCTTTCTTTGGACGTCCAGTTCACAAGGCAAACCCGCTGTGCACCGTACACCACGCCCGAATACCTCCCCTCATCCGGCGCACGTATACCAAACGCACTCTCGACTCAGAGTTTACTTTGTGTGAATGATCATGTGATGTGGATCGTCGCATCCCGACGCCCACGCACACCCAAATCAAATCAAGCAAAGCAAATAAAATCGACCTCTCGAATAAAAAAGCGAAGCGTCGAAAGATATAATATAAGAATAGCTAAAGTGTCCGGCCGCGGCTCTCCCTCGCGCGGCCCCTCTCAAATTCCTCCAACCCCCTCCTCTTGCCCTCTACTTCTCGCTCCTCACGACACTCTACGCACGCGCACCCACCGTCGACGAGCACACTGCCCTCCAACGCGCGGAGCGTCCGTTCGGCAAATCGTCAAGTCGTCCATAACATAATGATCTCGTTTTCGTGCTTTATTTGTTTGTTTGTGTCCCTGGCGTGAGAAGGGCGGGGTCAGACGCTGGTGCGTGAGGGCGGGGAGGGGCGGCGGTATGTCTGCGAGACGATGTCAGCAAGGAGCGGGTGACGGGCAGTGGGATAAGAGAAGGAAGGGGGCGGAGGGGAAAGGGAGCGACAAGGGACGCATCGCTGCTGAGAGAGAAGGGAAGAGAAAGGAGGGTAGGGGAGGCGCGGGTGATGCGGATACAGAGCGCGATGCAGACGGTGATGACGTGTCCGCCGGGGTGTGGCCAGACGCAGAAGGGAGAGGGCGGTAGAGGCGCGTAAGGAGGCCCCGAGGTGTGTCGCAGAATGGATGAACGAAGGGAGGGTAAGGGGAGAGAGTGGGGCGGGGGAGGAAGGCACGGCTGGTGGTGAGGACGTGTCCGACGGGGTAGCCACCGCCGAGAGAAGAGAAGGAAGGAAAGGGAGGGGGGCGCGCGGGGAATGGACGAACGAACGAAGGGAGGGGAAGGGGAGAAGGTGGGACGGGGGAGGGGAGGCGCGGGTGGTGGTGATGACGTGTCCGCCGGAGTGCGCCACCGAAAGGAAGGGAAGGGACAAGGAGCGCGGTGGGATGTGGGAGGGAGGGGAAGACGACGGACGCAAGGCCGAGGTACGCCAGGAAGGGAGGAAGGGAGAGAGTAGCGATGACATATGTGGGGCAATCGGGAGGCGATAAGGGCGGGGCGGGCAGTGCGTATAGCAGGGCAGCGGCACACCCCGCCGAAGACCGACAGGAAGTGGAAGTGAGGTGGGCGCAGAGCGGGGCGGGAGTAATGTAGCGATAACGGGATAGTGGGGACGCATGGACGCGGGGAGATAACGTGGAGGGGCGGCGACGGACGACGGACGACGGGTGTAATTGTGATGCATTACATGTATGTAGTGCGCGGAGGCAGAACGGGCACGATAAGGGAGGGGGCGGGAGCAACGGATAAGGGGACGAAAACAATAACACAAAGGGGGCGGGTGCCACGGAGGCAAAGAAGTAAAAGAATTGAAAGACAATACGCACATGGCGGTTCATAATCATCTTCGCCATCGACACCGGGGTCTGCGACTCGTATATCGCTGGTACTGCTCCACAAAATCATCATCAGGCGCTGACGTGTGCACACGAGGTGGGGGACGTACGCGGTGCCTCGACGCGGGGGCGGGATGCGAGGGCGGGCTCGGGGCGGCGGACGGGGCCTGCACGCGGGAGCGGGGACGCAGACGCAGACGACGCTGGTGGTGGTGGGAGGGTCTCCCACGAGAGGCGCAGCGGCAGCCACGAGGAGGCCGGTTTGGGGCTCGTCTTGGGTGTGCTCTTCTCCGGAGCTTGCACCTGGATAGCCTTGGCGCTGAGGGGCAGCGCAAGGCGTCGATGGGCAGCGGCGGCAGCGCGCACGACGGCGAGGACGAGGACCGCGGCGAGGAGGGTGAGCGCGACGGTGGGGGTCACGCCCGGGGAAAGGCGGAGGCGGGCCGGGGCGGTGGGGAGGGCGGCGGGAGGATGAACATCGTGAGCGGGTGACGGGCGACGGGCGACGGGAGAAAGACCAGGGACGACGTGCGTGGAGAACTCTGGGATGTGATGGAGTTATTGGATGCAGTGCGGCGGTTTTGCCTGCGACATCGAGAACCCCACTGCCGAGCTCGGGGAATAGAGAGGAGAGTTGGGACTGCCACACGCTGGTGATTTGCGAAGTAAGCTTTATCTAGGAAGCTTGTCAACGTATTGTAGTTGGGTGAGCATGTTGACCGGCGTGGGCAGGAAGAGAAGGAGGTGAGAAATGATTTAGGCGCTGGGCGATCAATCGATCAATCGATCACGTGGACCAAGGGCGGCAACAAGCTGAGCAATTGAACCTGCTCACTTCCTTTCGTCAGGTGGCCCTATTACTCATAGCGATACGGATGGGGGTATCCTGTAGAACAGCACAATAATCGAGATCAAGAACACAACCAAAAAGCCCGATGGACGGTCCAGTTCGAGGCACGGGGAATCGAGAGGCTAACACGCGGTGTTTCATTCACCACATCCGATTGTTTAACTTCCGTGGCTCTGAACCAATCGATCGGGAGGCAACGTTCAACGCCGTCAAATATAACCAAAGAACAACGGTAGACGAACGTATGGCTGTAATAGCGAGACATTCTTATTTAAAACACCGGATCGGTTTTTTTGCGAAAATTTACACCACCTGGAGTGAATTAGCAGTTTCATACACAGGGTCGCAACCCGGGATGTTAACTTTCACACCATATTGATTTACAAAATTGCACAGGTTCTAAGACCCCCAAAAAATTACACCACCACATTTTTGACTTACAGAGGAACACAGGTCGGCATAGCGGGAATATCCATAACTTCAACACTGAGATGATTTTCACTGCTGATCTTTGTTCCCAAATACACTGCTACTTTGCATTGCCCGAAAAACATCCCACCCCCGATTCCTACGCGAAAATACACCGGTGTCAGCGGTTGCATCCCGTTTTGAGAATGATTTGATGGCTCCTGCTAATTCTCTTGTATCCTCCTCAGATCCGGTCGCTGATAACTGAAGGTACAGTGGCGGTCACTATCACATACCCTATAGCCTCGCGCGGGTGTTAGTATTTCTAGATCGCAGACTGAGAATGGAGGGAAAAGTAAATCCTGGACAAGGGTAAAACATTATGTGATACACCAGTACACCACCCAGAACCTTTGAGCGAAGAGAAAAAATAAACTGAGTACTTACTATGAGAAAACCCGGAGGGAGCCAGGTTCAGGCAAGTAGGCCAGACCAATAGGGGGTGGAAATCATGGAGAGTGGGGGTTTTGTGATAGGTGTAGGTGTCGCTCTCTTCGCCGACAGTAGCCACACGACGGCCGGGCGAAGCAACGACAGTATTATATGCTTGAGAATTGAAGGTACAGGAGGTGCTGATGAACCGAGAATCCGCAGGCGCGAGACAAACCAGTGAACCCAGAATGAAAAGAGCAGGGACGGAATATTGAACGAACTGGCCATGGATGTTGGTCCTTTATATTGGCCAAGGGGGCTACGTAACCGCAGCTGAAGAAATATACTGGTCTGCGGCGCAGTGAGAAAACACCCCCCTGCGGATTCAACTGTGCGTCTGTGGCTGAACTTTTACAATTAAAGCGCACAGGTTTCTCTCTTCTAGTCACAATTTCGGTTCACAGGGCCTACTCCAACGTGTAGTCGGCGGTAAGCTGCTCTTTCCCTCGTATTTTGCACCTCTATGTGCTATAACTAGCCACCAATACTATCCTTTGAATCAATACATACTTTGGGATTGTGATCACCAACAAGCAGGACATGTGCCGGAATGAAGCGCAGGCATGTCTTGTGCAGAAGTATCAAATGCCGAAGTATTTATACTGCCTTGAGGCTGTGTGACGACCTCCGTTTCTAGACACAGGACATCCGCCGTCGACCGCAAATAATGTGCATCAAGAGGACAGGAAGGGGTTAAGAATTGAACGTCGAACATGTGTGGTCGGATTTGGATCGGAAGCAATCGGACCGGCTCAGCAACTTTGGCGAATTCAGTGCTTAACGGTGGGTGCATCAACGGAGGAAGAAAGGTCACAGTAAGAGGTTGTGTATTTTTCAAACCAAAAATAAGGTGGTGAATCCATTGGAACTCGGGGGTGTGTTATTTTTCAATGAGCAGTAGCCAGTGAATTTTGGTGGAGGTCTACCCTGTGTATTTTAAGGAAAGATTTGCAGCGGTGTAAATTGTCGAGTTTCTCCAAGGTGTGCATCTTCAGTATCAAAACAGCGGTGTAAATTATCCGAAGGAACCTGTGTAAATCTGCGGGACACCTGCGTAAATTTTGGTGAAATCTCAAATAATAATGTCCCAGTATTACCCCCATACGAACGCCTTGGTACTCGGCATGCGCTTCGTATGGACTCGAGAATATCTCGACACGTCAGGGCCTTGGTTCCGCGAACAGTACCCTGCCTTGGAAGAGGAGCAGTGAAAATAAGAGATCGGGGGTGGTGGACTACGGAAGACCGCGAGTCTGTGTATATCTTCGATGCACTACTCTTATCTCGCAGCCCGGGGTTTGACTCCCCGCACCCGACCTATGATGGGGGAGAAGTTTTTGGTGTATAATTTTCTGATTTCTCGTCGTAGAGCTTCGGAGTCCTTGATTCCGATGTGCACATTTTCAACCTCGTCTGCCGTGTGATTCCGCCCGATACATACCTCGAGAACTCTCGCGTCAGCTAGAACTATCCAAAGCAAGGGATCGGGCGTGGTGCACGGAACACCGCGAGCCTTCATACGCTTATTCCAAGAGAATATGTTAGCTCTCAGTTTGGGGTTCGACTCCCCGCGCCCGACTTAGGCGTTGGCCGACGACACCAGACGGTAATTAATCGAGCGTCGTGTACGGATCGCCGTGAGTCGGTGTGCAGGGCGAGATCTGAACAATTCGTTTGCAGTCCGGAGTTCGACTCCCCGCACCCGGTTTGGAGAGTTGCACACAGAAGGGAATACTCAGTTCGGAGCGCGGGCCTCGAAGGTTGCGCTGCGAGTCAGCCGGAGACGTACAGGTGGTACGAGTCA